AGTAAAGTTGCTTTCAATTGCCCAATAATGCCAGGCTCTAAATTACAATTCCCAATTATTTTAAGCATAGAAATGGCCTCTTCAATTCCAGTTGTCTGTGGTTTGCATGTACCAAAACAAAACAAACAAACACAAGCCAAACAAACAAACCCAGAAAATGTTGAAATAGCCCATGGGGAGTATAGTGATGAAGCTTCTTGCTATAGATTTGGACTTTTATGAAATTGAATGGGGGCCACTCCCAAGGACTGAGATCTTGGGGGTATCATTCTTCCCACATAGTAAAATTGGGTTTGTTAGACAAAGTCAGCAATAAGGAAGACAAGTGTGTATAAAGGATGGAGACAGATAAAAGATAATGGGTGTACAGAGATCCAGATGTTAAAAACCATGTGAGGCTGGGGTTAAAAAGCAAAGGTACAAGGCCAAGAGAGTTCAAAGCAAAATAATGTACTATGGAGAAAATAACAGTTTCTGTTAAAGACAGCTTAGTCATACCTGGAAGGGAAGACACAGACAGCTGGATTAGTAAAGGAACAACTGCAAAAGACTCCATGGGGAGGCAAGAACAGAACACACACAGAAATGTACATTTAGCTTTGTGTTAAGATGGCAGAAAAACAGCTGGAGTGCTGAGGAAGGGAGGGGCCAGCAGGAAGTTAGCTAGGCTGCAGAGGCAGTGGAAAGGAGGTGGTATCTTTTAGTGCATGCTTCACAAACGGCTGGGTCCAGTAGGATGTATACATTTTTAAAAAGGAAGACTCCAGCCTTTCTGATCTGGGATTTTGACCTAACAGAGCACTCTAACTAACATGCAGAAGTTCAACTTTGGGAGTGTCAGGTAGCAACTTGCAAATATAACTACTTACAGCCAATCAGCATGGCAGCCATAAAGGAAGAGCGGAAAGAAGAACAAAATAGGTGGTGGCAACAGGTGTCATTTGGGGGTGGATTCTGATCTGTGTTTGGGGCTTCCTTTCCCTCATCTGGCTTCTGCTTTAGCTTTGACGTCTTCCTTTCTGATACTCCAATTACCTATGTTTTGTCTGTGTCCACCTCACCATGACCTCAGTTATCAACCTGGGCCTCCTACCTGCTTAAGGCATGGGAGCTGGAGTCAACAGTTCCTCCTCTCAGTCCCTCTTCAATGCGGCTAGATGCCACCAACACTTACTCTATAGAGGGGGGTCTCCAAGCCGCCTTTGTGACTGGGATGTTAGAAAAGCAGATAGAATCTGCCTTTAGTGTGGGTGATTCAGAGCTCTCAGTGTGAGCTGTGAAGTTTGCCAAGATTGCTCTGATGTGGTATTGCTCTCAATACCATTATTATGTCACTAAATGATTGCTGATGGTGGTTCCCAACCCTGTGTTTCTCTAAGAGTCCCCCATCTGGAAGAATCTTTGGTGAACACCACACTGGCTCTAAAAAATTAGGACTTGTGTAGGAGCAGTGTGTTGGTCACATCAAAGGAGATGATGAATATTACATTTCGTTGAATTGTTTTTCGGGGAGTATTTTTCCCTTAATGGAACGTTAAGTGATTCAGGGTCTCAGACCTCATAAAATAGCTCACATGTAGACATTTTTCTTGTAAAATGTTACAGTAACAGAAAATGAAGCATTTTGTTTGAGTCCAAAAGTATGCTTATTGTGGTGATTATTTTTTAATAAATCAAATACAGGAGGAAAGGGTTCAAGAGATATTCAACAACTTGATATTCACATAAAGATATATCAGGAAAAAAGAAATTATAAGACCTTAAAATTCATGATTTCAATGCTTTGGTCTAGAAAGCAAGGAAACTGTTAAGCACCAAAGTATGAGATTTGTGTTAGTTGAACTCAAGGGGGGCAACTCAAAGAAATTTTCTTTGCTTATAAATGGAATGATACAATATGCTAAAGGATTAATAATAGCTGAAATAGACTGAAACATTCATATGAAAATCCATGAATTCTTAATAATATCAAAGGCATTCTCATCTGGAAACAGAACTTGAGTGTGATCAGGCTCCAGTGACCCATTTATAGGCAACAGAGAATGCAGGAAACACTTTAGGAGAAACCTGGGGTTTTCTTTAAGAAAACTGCACAGAGAAAAAAACTAAAAATACAAAGAGGGAACAAAAACTAGCTCATTAAAAGAGCCTCATCTGCATCCTGGGTCTTGTTTAAAGTATAATATAAAACCAGAAAAATGAGCTGGTGAGATGTCTCAGTGGATAAGAGAGCTTGCTACATAGGCATAAGTTCAAATCCCCAGCACTCATGTAAAAAGCTGTGTGGCCTCATGTGTATACTCTGATCACCCCAGCATTTGTGTGGGTGGAGCAGAGAAAGGATTAGTGGGGCTTGCTGGCTTTCAGCCTAGCTCCAGATTTATAGACTTTGTCTCAAGGGAACAAGGTGGAAAGTGCAAAAGTAGGGTATCCACCCACACATTCTCCTCTAGTCCCAGAGGTATATGTACATACACACATGCGAACATACCAAAAACATGCATGCATACACATGCACACACACAAAAAAACCCAGAAAATCCAACTGTTCATTCAATAAGTTAGCAAATCAGTAGGAGAGAGGCAGATATGCATAGGTGACAGGATATCTGATAGAATCAAATACCTCCAGATAATATTCTTGGGCAGGAGATGGTTTCGTGGTTGTATTTATTGGAAGGAACTCTATCCTTCAGTAGTACATCCTGGAGTATTTTTAGGTCAGGAAATATGGTGGCTGAGATAGGACCGTGGCATGGTATTGCCTGGCCTTGGGCTCTTTTCCTTTATGGCTTTCCATAGTAGATCCCCATGGACCTTTAGAATATCATCATTTTATGACGTAGTAAAACACATAAATATTTTCTGCAGTTTGAAATATTCTTTTCTGTGGTAATTTAAAAAGAAATAAGAGACATTGGGGGTGAGGTGTCCCTAAGAGCACTCACTGGGCTTCACAGGCATTGACCCTGGGCTTGATTTGTCCCTAAATGACCCAGAGGTATGCAGGGTACAGGGAACTTCAGGGAGAGGATGACACAAAGTTGGCTGTGATCAATGACTGCTGAACCTGTATGATGGTATGAGGAGGGGGTTGCCACAGCACTTTTAAAACTGCCTGTGCATTTAAATACTTTAATATTAAATAAATAAGTTTTGAAAAAGTCATTTAGTCACTATTTTGCCTTTAGTCATGGGTAGGAGTTCCAAATAAACCAACGTATAAACAAACAAACAGATAAACAAGCCAGTTACTTAAAGTTGATATTCATGTTGATGATGTTGCATAAATAAGAAAGGCCTTTAAATGATGTATTGAGACAAAAATCTTAATTATTAATCTAGGATTTAAAATCTAACCTGACAGGTGGTTTAAGAAATTTACTTTTCATTTTGGTTGGTTGGGAGAACAACTCCCATATGATCAGAGCTCCTGTCTAGCAGCATGGCACTGCTATCTTTGGAGAAGGCCATGTTAGAGTGGCATAGCCTCTCTTGAAGCAAAATGACCATTAAATATAAATAAAAGGCTGCTCAGAATCCATCCTGCCTTTTAGAAGAGCCTATTTTAGGATGAGTCGGTGAGTGCCATTGGAGGGCCAGCAAGTCAGTGGGAGTTGGGCTCCTCAAAATGTGGCTCAGGCATTTCTCACCAACCTCTCTGTGCCATCTTCACTCTTTCACAGGTCAATGCCAGAAACAGTTACTGCATATGAACTCCAGGCAAGCCCTGGATGTGCTAGGTTTCTGGATGTACAGAGAACAAATAGTTTCTATGTAGGAAAGCAACATCAGCTGGGGAAACAGAGATACTTTCAGACAACTGCAGAAGACTGAGAATTGGTGAGAGCACATGCTGCAAAGAGCTTGCTTATCAGATATGAGGACTTGAATTTGATCCCTAGTGCCCACATTAAGACAGCCAGGGTGTGATAGTGTATGCTTCTTTCTTTCTTTCTTTCTTTCTTTCTTTCTTTCTTTCTTTCTTTCTTTCCTTCTTCTTCTTCTTCTTCTTCTTCTTCTTCTTCTTCTTCTTCTTCTTCTTCTTCTTCTTCTTCTTCTTCTATTTTTTTTTTTGGCTTTTCGAGACAGGGTTTTTCTGTGGCTTTGGATCCTGTCCTGGAACTAGCTCTTGCAGGCCAGGCTGGTCTACTGAGATCCGCCTGCCTCTGCCTCCCGAGTGCTGGGATTAAAGGCTTGTGCCACTAATGCCCAGCTCATTTGTGACAGATTTTAAAAATGGTCCTAATACTTTGCAATTCTTCCCATGGAGAGGTAGAATCTGTCGTGTTTGAATTCAGAGTAGGTATGTTATATATTTTGGCTTCTAGGCTGTGGAGGAAGCAATTGGGTTCTTAGCTTTGTACTTAGAGGCCTTGCAGCTTCTATTTGGGCCTCTTTTACTATACATAAAGGTGTAAGATAGCGTGTATGATGATAAGGGCTAAGGTTCAACCTCCATTCCCCCTCCCCACTGCGTATGACAGGCTGCCAACCTCTAGAAGTTATTACCTGTTCATGGGCAGCAGAACACACATGCCTAACAGAGACCCCAGTCTAAGAACCACCTAGACTGGCCCAACCCAGTTTGCCAATGCACAAAGTTATAAGCTAAACGTGTTTACTATGTCAAACTACCACAGTGGCCTGTGGGTGTGTGGGGGAAGTAACACATTATATAACCATAGATACTTAAGGCAGAAATACTTTCCTTCCAGAAACTTCCAATTATACTCTGAAGTTAATACCACATTTTGTTTCTGAGAAGCCCCAGGCTCTATCTTTTGACGTAATACATTAGGATTTATTTTGGACTGTTGTATGAGCATCGATAGCTCTGCCAGAAGAAAAAGCCGCCTTCCTTCCATTAAGATTCTAGAGAGTGAGAGGGTTGGAAAGAGCAACACAGGAAATCCTGTGTGCCAACATTCATGTGAAAAGAAGAGGGAGGATTCAGAGCGCTTTCAAATTTACATCTCTCGAATATGGATCTAACTAACCTTCAGCCGGCGGTCTGGATCTCCACTGCACAGAGAATTCACCGAGACTTTGAACGACTTCCAGGCTGGGCTCAAGTTATTCATCACAACCTGGGAAGAGAAATGCATGAATAGTGACTTGAAGAGGGAAGGCTTGACATTTCATACTTCAACATAAAAACTACTCGAGAAGCCACAGCAGTGCTTATGAAAAGGACAAGTGTCTGAAGCATGTAGCTTGATGCAAACTTGAGAGTAGTGAGTATTTTAAGAGTGGCCACAAAGTATGTCATTATGGGAAGAACTCCTGTGGTGACTGGCCCAGATGTTGTTTTATGAATATCGACAGTGACATTGCCTTCCATATGGGTATGGGAGATGACCTCTTCTATGGCAAAAGGCCTGGTGTTGAGGCAAAGCTACCTGTGGCCACTGATGAAGGATTTCCCAGCCCCATAGGACCATCAATCTTATGGCATGAATTCTTTCCCCTTGGAGTCAGCAGAGGAGAGGTATTTGGTCAGGGTGGAGAGGAACTGTTATACAATCAGCACCTCTAGCTGAGGAGCTATGAGTGGTTCATGATTGCTGTGGCCAGGGAGTCTTTGAATCTTGTGGTATAGCCCTTGGTGAGTTGTCCATGCCCCAGTAAATAACCCCACAATGATGCTCATGAAAGCAGTTCTGGTTAAACTCAGTGGGTCACACAAACACAGAAAAAGACATCAAAGTAGGAGGCAAATGTGTTGATCAGAAGGCATGGATTAGGGATGAAAGAAGATTAAGAGAAGGTAAAGGGTGACAAATGACTAAAATACACTATATACATGTATGTGACACACACACACACACACACACACACACACACACACACAAATATATGGGAGGGATTTGGTAATCTGTGACCTTGAGTCATGTCAGATGGCGAGTCAAAGAATTGTCTAGCTGAAGAATACTAACAGTAGTTTTACATTAGCTGATCACATCTAAATTAGAATATTTATCAAGACATAACATGGCAATTCTTTAGATTATAAACTAAATCAGTAATACAGTAAAATCTGTTTAAAACTAGTGTACAGATCATGACCTTGGCTGAATATTGCCCAAGGGTCCATAATACTTATCCTGTCTTTTGATGGATCCAACCATTCAGCCTGGTTCAGTGCGAATAAGTACCAGGTGCACATTCCAGGGCAGGGGCTATGAAACTGTGGTTCCTGGACTAGCAGGTGCTATGCTACTGGAGACTTCATGCAAACATAAATTCTGGATTCTACCCAGTCCTGTACACAGATACTTTTCAGGGAGGTCTCCCAGGTTATCCAATGAATGAAACCTAAGAATTATTGGGTTTGGGAACATAGAAATAAAGTTAACTTGTTAAATTTAACTCTGCCATGTTATTCTTTCTTCATATGAAATTTTTAGGTAGATGTCTTTGTGGATAGATGTCTGTGGATTTTTTAAAAGAATAATTCTGTCTCCAAATAATGTAATTGTTTTATAAACAATTCCCACTTCTACTGAATTCCTTACTATAACTATGAACTATTTATCAAATCACAGATTCATTATTAAATTTATTTTAACATGTTAAAATACAGAAGCAATGTTCCTTTTTGACTTTGTCCTGTCTCCTGATTATCTTGGACATCATCAATTATTGTGAGAAGGATAGAATTGGATAATATGGCCTGTGTTCATTTTATTTTCTCACATTTACTAACAACATTTTTATAAAAATGTCAGAGTGAAGATTTTGGAGAAAATTCAATAGTAAATCAAATTTCAACTAAAAGTTTAAATATTTATGCATGCATGAGTGTGTGTGTGTTTGTGTGTGTGTGTGTACCCCAAGAGAATAACACCATGTGTTTATTTTGAAACTACTGAGTAAGCAAGAGAAACCATTGATGCTATGTTGTTTGATCTGTTAGGAAACTTTGTAATCAATAATATTATGAGATTCCAAGATTTCCCCAGCACTGGGACAGGGGACATAAATTGCATAGTTTCTTGGAAACAGAAAAAAATTTACCAGTATCAACAGTTGCAGAACACCTGACAGGAACCATGGAAAAGATCTCAGAAGAGAAGAAACTAACCATATACTGTTTTTTATCTCTTCCCTTTTCAGTTCACTGCCTACAGCAAAGCATAAATGGACACCACTACTCTGTCTTCCCCAAAGTTGATTTGACCATAGGAATCTTTATATCAGCAAAGTATTTGGTGATGATGAGAGGGGAGCAGTCAAGGAGCCTGTTCTTTCTACCTGTTAGTCAACTTTCCAGGAACTGGAGTCCAGTCACATTGCTCCTCAGCATATTCCGTTTATATAGCCAACTCTATACACTTTAATTAAGAACATATTGTGGTGCCAGATCATATCTATCTACTATTGGCTCATTTGAGACTACTTAATTCTTGTCAACCTTAAGAAGGACAGAACTCCCCTTTACTGTGTCATGAAAATAGAATTAGATTGACAAAGTGACTTGGTAGGAATATGGTGCCCCCACTGTCACCTCATAAAAATCATGGGTGTCCTCGCTCCCTTTCCTTTGCCATTGACACATACAGGTTCTTCTCCGAGTGCCAGGTCATTCAGCACAACTATTATATTTCCTTCTTAGAGAATTCTGCATGCTCTAGCTTGCAACTAGTAAAATAAGAGATTAGAGTCTGTTTCTGTATTAATTACTTATGCCTGACCAAAGCAACTAACATAGGAAGGGTCTATTTTGTCATTGTAACAGGGAGAACATAGCAGTAGGGCTGTGAGGCCACACTGTATGAACAGGCAGACAGCAGAGAGAGAAGAATACTGGCACTCTGCTTGCTTTCTCCTTTTTACTCATTCTGAGGCTCCAGCCCACAGGACTGTGCTGCTCACATCCACTATGACTCTTCCTCCCTGGAAGCACCCTCATATACCTCTGTGATGGTCTGAAAGAAAATGGCCCCCAGAGGGAGTGGCGTTATTAGGAGGTATGACTTTGTTGGAGTAGGTGTGGCCTTGTTGGAGGAAGTGTGTCACTGTGAGGGCGGGCTTTGAGGTCTCTTATGCTCAAGTTACTTCCCAGTGTCACAGATTGTCACCTGTTGCCTTCTGATAACGATGTAGCCAGCACCATGTCTGCCTACATGCTACCAGGCTCCCTGCCGTGATGATAATGGACTAAACCTCTGAAAGTGTAAGCTGACACCTCAATTAAATGTTTTCCTGTATAAAAAGTTGCCATGGTCATGGTGTCTCTTAACAGAACTAGAAACTCTAACTAAGACAACCCCCATAGGTGTTTGTTTGTTGTTGTTGTTGTTTTCTCTAGAGGATGCTAAATCCTATCAAGTTGACAATGGAAGTTAACCACCATAGGGACTGGTTTTATATATATGAGATAGTCATATCAGGGGGTTAGGGTAAGAAAGGATAAGGGTTAGGACCTGTTATACTGTGGCTCTGAAATGTCTCCTGCAGACACATATTTGAACACTTGTTCCTAGTTGGTGGCATCTTTTGGATGCCTGGGGAAACTTTGGGAAATACTGCCTAGCTGGGAGATACTGACCACAAGGAAGGGTCCTGTTTCTGGTCCTGTCTCTGCTTCCTCATCCTCCAAGACATAGTTAAACCCCATTGCCAGCTTCTGTGCCTTGGACAAGGGCCACCTTAGCTACTGGGCCTCCCCTCCCACAGTAGGTTGTATTCCTTGACAGCAAGAGCAAAAACAAAGCTCTTAGCCTTGATGCTGCTCCTGCCGGGTATTTGGGCACAGTGATAATAAAAGCAGTGGACAGGGGACTGTGAGGAGAGAAAATGAGTGAGAAGGAGCACAGCTTGACCCTGTGGTAGCAGGCCAGCAGCTCACATGACAGCCCCAGGCTAAGTACTTTCCCTGTGAAAACGTATTTCCTTATAAAATAAGTGAAGCTGACTCAAACAACTTCTGTGTTAATCTCAGCCCCATGCTTTGCCAACTGTGAAACATGGGAAATGGTGTAACTGCCCCAAAGCCCAGTTCCTTCAACTGGAAAGTGGGATAACAGTATTTCTACCAAAGAATAAGAAATAAAATACTGCATGAAAATCATTTCAGATGATGCTTCGTTCCCAGGTGTCTCATTAAATGTCATCTCATATCATAGTTAATGTCTTCTACATATGCTTTGTGTGTGTGTGCGTGCACACAGGCATGTGAACGTGTGGTTGTCTACCCATTGCAGTGCATGGACCAAGGTCAGAAAACAAATCTTCAGGGGTCAGGTTTTTCCTTTCACACGTAGGTTCTAGGGCTCAAACTCAGGACTCCAGACTGAGCCACCTCACTGGTCCTAGCATTCCTAATTTATTATAAATAAACTGTTGGTTGGCTGTGTTGAAAGTCAATTACATGAAAATGGATCTAGAAGGTGGTGGTGGGAGGTCTTTCCTTCAAACTTATAAAATTTACAAATTAAAACATTTAGTAAAAGCCCAACCCTAAAATGCAGAGGATCATCTTGAGGAAAGAGAGGTCCCAGGTCTTTGTCTTCAGGTAGTAAGCGAACACGGAAGGGGAAATGTTATGGCCCCAACCCTAGACAAAGAACTATAGACAACAAGGGAATGGTGAGAGCAGGAGAAATAGTCTTTCCCAGAAAAGAGCCTCTCAATTGGTTTTCCAATCCCAAGTGGTCAGCTCTGAAATCATACAAGCAACATTTTATGGACTAAGCAGGCTGTATTTTTATATTTAGGAATAATATAGAAACATACACACACACAAACTCCAATTAAAGAAAAAAGGTCATAAATTTGAGAGAGAGAGCAAAGGGGTACATGGGAGCCATTGGAGAGAGGCCAGTGAAGGGGAAAGTGGTATAATTATATTTTCATGTCAAACAATTAAAAAGTATTTACACAAAGGAAAAGGACTATGGATGCATCTCTCGGCTGACTGTGGACCACAGGCTTCTTTCTTACCTCTGTCCGGTGCACAAGCTGCTGAGTTGCGTCATCATTCATTCTGAAAATTTCCAGAAATGGGTCTGATTTACTGAAGAAATCCTAAAATAGACATACAGAATTAGGGTTTCTTACTTTCTTTTTTTTTTTTCTTTTCTTTCAGTTCTGAACTTGATCTAGTGCTGAGCACTGGTAGACTTAATTATCATAACCTACCCTCTGACTTCCTGTGGAGTGGAGGCCAGCTTGCGATTTCTTTTCGGAAGGTCAGCCTCAAAATCACTACTTTCTCCCACTTGCCCCCAGGCAGTGGGCACCACCCATCCTTGCTGTGTTCTTGTCCCTCTAATCCATTCCCTGGGCTGGAATTAGCTGCATCTGAACTCCAAGTTCTTTGTAAAGTGTTTGCTAGGCTGGACACTGCAGGACACCTCATAGATGGCTTCAAATGCCAGTGTGCTGAGAAGTGACATATCTGTTGTCTCAAATATGTAGATCATGATTATTGCAGAATCAGTATCTGACTGCTGGGATGTCTGGATCACTTATACATCTGTCTCCATTATCTGTTTCTTGGTTCTGTATGTTTGTTAATTTTGAGGAAATCACCACCACATGAGGAAGATTACAAAGGTTTTAGATTCATCCTCAGTATCTCTAAAGGAGCTAGAATGAGGCCAGTGCCTTGAATCTAATCAGGGTTAAGCCATTCAAAGGTTGGGTTTCTTCAGAAGTCTTTAATAAAAACAATCCATCTATTTCTGAGTCCTTCCCTCTTTGGGTGCCGTCCTTGGAGTGATATCGCTGAAAGCCAGAGTGTTTATGGAGCAGGTTCTTCTCAGTGAGGACTCAAGGTTCCCTGTGCCTGTGTTAGTCACTATCCATTTTGGGCTTTAGGTTTGTGTTCACTTTCTCTATTTGTTAGGTTTTTAGTGAAGGCCTTGAGAGGTAAAGCCCGTTGCTGTGCTCCTCTGAAGCATTCCTGTTCTCTAGTGACCCTGAGCTTCCAGCTTTTCTTTCCCTATCACATAAGTCCATTAAAGCTGTGCTCAGTTTTTTTTTTCTAGATACTTCCTGGTAGTTTTCGTTGTCTCTATAGCCATGTATTTAAGGAACCACCCTTGCCTGGGAAACTCCACAGGATATCTGAATTAACTTGCTGGCTTTCTTCTCTGCTCAGTTCTGGATCCCTTCACCTTCATCTAGGTCCCTTCTCTGTATGAGACCCCACAGACAGATGTTCCTTTTATCTTTTCTAATGTTTATGGATGCCCCCAGTAGGAGGCAATACAAATAGGTGTTTCATTACTGGCATTAGAAACTACACAATTTACATTACATCCTCCTTGTGTTTTTTTATACAGTAGGTGGCAAATTCTCAGAAAGGAGGAACCTTGTTTCCACTTAAATGTTTACTGTTCACTTTCTCAGTATTTTACTGTGTATATACTTTAGTAGTACCTAGTGTTTATTGAAGGGGCATATGCATGAATGAATATAGAAATGAATGCATGAATGAATATAGAAATGAATGAATGACTGAATGAATGAATGAACATCTCTTGGTATAGAATAGAAAGCCATCTATTCCACAGCCTTACTAACACACTCTGTAACAAAACAAAATTAAATCCAGATTAGCCCTAACAGTCATCAAGTTAACAAGCTGTCATCTGACATTATTTTATTTCCCATTGGCTTCTACTTGCAAAATTCTCTTCTCTATCAATGTCATTAGCACTCTTCCTCACTTTGAGCTCAGTGAAGGGGTTTCAGGGTGTGTGAAGGCCATAATACCTTTGTGCTAATATTTTGATGAAAGGAACACTAGTACCTTGTTGGACTCTCTAAATATGATCAAGTTTGGTGAGAAATGTGAGACTTGATGTGACTTACGCTAAAGAATGGAGGCATAAGTATGCAGGGTGTCTTTAGAGGGGAGGGATATGATCTGTGTGACTGCAGAAAGGGACTGTGAAGAGGCTCTATTTCTAGAGCAGGAATACTATGAAAGAATAAACATGAGAGCAGCAGGGAAAGCATTTTAATTTAACTGTGTATGGGACTGGTGGGTGAAGACAACTCTGGCAAAGTTGGCTCCATAGTAAAGGCCACCAATGCTCATTGGGTCTTTGCTATCCTGGAAAGAAAGCACAGAGCTACCAAGGGACAGTGAGCAGGAAAACAGCACAATTATCTGTCATGAATATCAGTCTAAATGACTGATGCACATATGAACACTGTGGTGGTTTGAGTAGGTATGGCCCCCAGAGACTCCTGTGTTTGAATGCTTGGCCTACAGGGAGTGGCACTATTAGGAGGCCTGCCATTTGTTGGAGTAGGTGTGGCCTTGTTGGAGGAAGTGTGCCATTGTGGAGGCAGGCTTTGATGTCTCTCTGCACCCAGTATGGGACACAGTTCATTTCCTTGTCTGTGGATCAAGATGTGGAACTCTTGGCTCCTTCTCCAGAACCATGTCTGCCTGCATGTTGCCATGCTTCTTACCATGATGATAATGGACTAAGCTGATGGGGGAGGTCCTTCTGTGTATATGTTTGGCAGTGGTGGAAAGATTTATCCTTACACTAAGCCTCTAAAACTGTAAGCCAGACCCAATTAAGTGTTTTCCTCCATAAGAGTTGTCATGGTTATAGTGTCTCTTCACAGCAGTAGAAACCCTAAGTAAGACAAACACATAGAGATTATGGAAGCATACACCACACCTACACAGGTTCAAGTCAGGTGGGGTCCCAACACTGAGTGGGACAAGTAGACACAGGGTCCCACACCCAACCAAGAAGCCATTTGCAATTGATACCTGTTGGCAAATGGAAGAATCAATCAGTTTTTTCCCAATGGAGTGCCATTGGGTATACTGACCAACTAAATTCTGGGGCAGACTACTAGTTGCCTAGGAGTTGTTGTCCAACACAAATGAAATAGTTGTTGTTGTGTGTGTTTGTGTAAATGTATAATTTCATCTTGTCTAAGCATATGTTGACCTTTTTGATTTGTCTTATTTTTCATTTTCAATGTTTGTTTTGTTTTATTTATTTTGAGAAAGAAAAACACATGAATTTTAGTGGGTTTAGAGGTAGAAAGGATATGGGAAGAGTAGGAGCATGAAAAAATGATCAAAATGCATTTTATGAAAAAATTATTTAAATACAAATATTTTTAAAAGACTATTAGCCTAGAAACTTTCTAGAATAACCTAGAAAGAGAAGAGATGGGCAGTGGGGGAACTCCCTTCTCTGCTGCATCCCTCCCTATTCAACCTGAGACTCAAACACTGGCCCTTTCATTCAATATCTGAATGTTTGAGAGTACCACGGCCTCCCTCTTACCAAGAAACCCAGTGTCTACTTTCTTCATTAATCTAACCCCAAACCTTGCCTCATCCCCAAATGGCCCATTTGTCTTTCAGACACACCATAGCTGATTTGCATATACCTGTCAAGACATTTGCATCTCAGCCTATTTCTGTTTCTATATACATCTAATAATATTGTTGTTACCCTTTCTTCCCTCTTCCTTTATGGATATGGACCACATTAGCTTCTTCCTGTGTGTCCATAAATAGATTACTAGCCCCTCAGGGGATGTTTATGAGTTATACTTAAAAATTGCTGACCACAGTGGAAAAACTCTATCAATTATTTTCCTTTTTCCTCTTTATTGAAAATCCAAAACTTTTCTTATCATCATTTTTATGTAAAAATGGAAAATGTAGAACAGAAACAAGATAAAAATAGAAATATGGAGAAAAAAAGCACAACCCCCATCTATAATTTAGCGATTGGAATATGAAGTTTGTATTATTCATTTCTCTCCTGAAAACCAAGAAGACAGAAGTTGGTTGATTGCCTCATAGAACTATGTAGCTCTCAGACATTGTCAGAGAAGTTTCTTTTTGCAGTGGGTGGTGGTTAATACAGAATTCCTAACTAGCCAGAGTACAGGGAATAAATGTTGTGGAGTGCTCATCCATCAATGGGGCATCTGTATCCTACTCTTGTCCACAAGGCTCAGGGCCCATTGTGGAAGGGAAGGTGGTAAGAACTGGAGGTCAGGGAAGACCAGAGTGAAAAACATTGTCTGGACACAGCAGGACCTCTGCACTCAAGAACTCACAGAAGCTGTGGTTGCCTACACAAAGCCTGCATAGCTTCAAACCAGTCAACATTCCAGCATGGTGCTTATGGGCTCTCATGCTGAGCTGAGGATCTATTGACAGTTGATGGCTTGAGGAAGCAGGGGGCAGAGATTCAGTTTTCTTTAAGGGTATGGTCCCATGTTCCAGTAAATGGCCCCACAATTTGGACTCAGTTATTACTTAAGAGAGAAATAGAGACAGAGAGACAGAGACAGAGAAAGACAGACAGTTGGGAGGGATTGGGATGGGTAGATCTAGGAGAAATTAGAGGGTAAACATGATAAAAATACATTGTATACATGAGTGAAATTCTCCTAGAAGTAATAAAAGCATTACATTACAAAAAGCAAATTGGTGGAAGGCAACAGGTTTATTCAAGACTTCAGAGTTTCAAATCTATCTCAGTGGTACCAGGTGTTGTAAAGATGTTTCTTCCCGGATTACAACCTTCCATCTTGGAGGGAATCTCAACATGACACTGGATGTTAAAGGGGAGGTGAAACAGTGGGATATTTTAAGACAAGATGTTTACAGGGAGGTGGAACGAGAGGCGTTTGAAGGGAGGTGAAATATTTCATCTTTCAGGGAAGTTTGTTAAGATCCGGAAGTAAACAATTGTAATTGCTTCAGGAAGTTCCTGAAACTGACCAGATTCACTAGGCCCCTCGCTTCCCAGGAGCACTTACAAGTATTAATGTTTGCTGAAAGACAGTCCCAGAAAACTGAGATGCTGAGAAGAAGCTCAAGCCTGAAAAGCAGTCTGGAAGAAGAAGAGACTAGCAGAGCTGTCTAGACGAGAGTCAGACCAATGGATCCACTTGGAAAGGACACCCAACCAACCTGTTGAACGTCCTGCAGCTTGCACAGTATGTGCCCTCCAGGTTTCCAACTTTTGTGAGCTGTCACTGATGCTGGGGTGGACTTTGGTGATGCAGATATCTTTGAG